TGACTCACCCTGAACAGACCGGGACCAACCAGGATCCAGCACCTCCTGTAGTGACCAAGGCAAGTGCGGGAAGATGTGCCGCGAAATCGGGAGTGAATGGAAGTAAATCATCCGTCGAAAAAGTGGTAGTGACGCGAAGTGGGCGCGAAGTAAAATCTCCCAAGAGATACGGTATATTATAAAACTCTGTACATTGGTCTGGTAGATTTTACTGTATATAATTTATCTTAATATGTGAACAAGATTTGATGTTTTTTTTTGGTTTGTTCAATATGCCATGTATGTAATGTAATAGCTCGACTTAAGATTTTAAGATTCTGCGACTGTCTCTGATTAAGTGAGTCCACATTAGTGTAGTAAAATGGACTCAGGTGGGAGGATGTCAGAGCCAGTATATATTTTTAGGGAACAATTTCTGTTACATTTTTTTAGAACAAAGGTAATTTCAGTTTAAGATGCACATGTTTTTCTCGATCCTATTCAAAAGTGAAAGTTTATGGATTTACTGTTGGTGACGGTTGGTCTTGGCAACTCTTGTCTATTAATTTATGACCGAAGACAAGGGTTCCTTCGAGGACGTAGTTCAAGTGGCTTTTGAAGTAGGTACTGAGTTAAAAACTCAGTACCTACTTCTCTTTTTTTAGAAAACTGAATATTTGGGATTTTAGTCTTTAGTATCGTATAGATTTTAAATGGAAGCGGAAGGCGGAGTCGTACCGGGTTTTGTATAATTTACGCTTTTCCATTCTCTTTTTAATTAATCATTTATTCGTGGATTTTGTTTATTATTAGTTGCAAGTAAGCTCAGTATTTAATAAAGGTTGTATATTTGTAAATAAATACGGCTTTTATTTCCAAGGAGACGTGTTGTTAAGACGGGTAGTTTTTTCGACGCGACATTTAGTTGTTCCCTAAAAATATATACTGGCTCTGACAGACTAAATAGATTTGAAACGATTGGATTAAAATAGGTTGTCATCTCATAAAATCGTCTTCTTCTCGTCCGTTAACTCTTCGAGTATGGTAACATCATGTCTCAATTGCGCGGATCGTTGTACTCCATCCCTGTCTATCTTGTCCCGCTTTTTGTAGACCGTGACCAATAATTTCTTTAGTGTGGTCCACCCAGTCGGATACCTTCCTCTTGATCGTTTGCCATTAATCTTTCATTCGATGATTAGTTTTTCCAGTCCATCTATTCTTCTTGAAATGTGCCCAAAGTACCTAAGGTATGACTGGTTCATTTTGGGTGAAAGTCTTGTGGTAACTTTCAACTGCCTTAGAATTGAGACGTTGTTAGTCCTGTATTTTGTATATGAAATTCGCAGCATTCTGCTATAAGCCCACATTTCAAAAACATCTATTTTTCTTCTGTTTGCAATTTTCAGGGTCCAGATGCATAAGTAGCGATAGGAAAAATTAGTGTATTTAATAATTTTAATTTGTTGCGCTAGGATACTGCAGAGTCTTTCCATATTCGAGTTACGAGCTATGGCTAGTCTGCGTTTGATTTCTTCGTCACAGCCTCCTTGTTTGTTATGAGAGATCCGAGGTAATTAAAAACATTTCCTCCGCTTCAAAACCATCAATCACCCTGAAGCTAGTAATACTTCAATCATAAAATCTAGACTGATCTAACCTATGTGTAGGTGTGTGACAGTACTCCAAGAGGCTCTTACCGAAGGAAGGGTTAATTTAACCCTTAGTGTGGTGATATAAATAGTATCTAATAGTATAGAAAATTTGAATAACAAGTGAGTGTAAACGACTCAATTTGACTCCAAACCTACATGTCGCTGGCCTCAAATTCGTCCGAATCGGACTATAACTGCACCTAAATCGCCGACGAATCGGCGCGCGTCGGCGTCGCGGCGCCTTTTTCGTATCCAGGTCCGCGCCGTGTCGTTCCCGATTCAAATCGCACGCATAGTTCGAACCTACTGGATGGCTGGATAGCATCATCGACGACAAAACGCGGGAGTTCGCACTGCCTGGTACCGACCGACCCCCTAGTCGTTTCGCGTAGTTTTATCCTCCTTTTCGCGACGAAAAATCGTTCCGTTTTCGTTTTTACGTTCGATTTCGGGAGCCGTACTATATTCCTTTGCCCCGCGCTCCCGAACAATCCCGTTTTTTATTGCCTAGATAAAACTTCAGCTCGCCGAAGCCGGAAGCTAAAGGTATAGAGAAAAAAAAGTGTTGGTGGATTTTTTTCCGGTGCGGTCTATTTCGGGTGCTGGCGTTTGGTTTAACTAAAGCTCCGTCTACACGTAACGTTAAAACGGAAGACCGTCTAAACTGCCGTCAGATCCTCTCTGTCTTGGTCCCATCTAGACATAAAGTTTCACCTGCCTGATAAGAGCATTTTTGTTTAAAGTAGTGATTCCCAAAGTGGTCCAGGTGGACCCCCAGGTGTCCACAGCACGTAGCAAATTTCCATCTTCGCTTTTTTGACGAGTTTTGGGAATATAGGTCTACGAGAACAAAAAGTTTGGGAACCTCTGGTTAAAACTGGCCTCTACAATTTGGAAGTTTTACCTGTGGTTTTAGATCAGTTTGTGGCTGTTTGTGGTAAAGATAGGGGTTTCATAACCAAACCAAACCACAAAGGCATTTGGAAATTCCTGACAAGTGAACTCAGAAATCCGGACGTCGCCGTCGCCAAAAAGAAATTATAAATTTGTTTAGTCATTTAGAGGGTGCAAATAATAGCCCCGGATTCGACAAAATATAAACCAAAAAAAAAACATTCGCTTTCCAGGAGTGCACCAAAAACGAAAAATTTGAGCGCCAAAGTATAGAAATGGGTACTTTCGAACATACGTCGGTTAAGTAGAGCTGTAGCATCGTGGAGACTAAAATATTCAGCAAAGTAACTGAGAAATTAATTCAACTGTAACTGGAGTGAAATATTTTACTAAGTAAAATTGTTTTGCGGTCAGGTTTCTGGGACGCTTTTCCAAATCCGGGCCGGACCGCCCCGGACACTTTAAAAATCCGGACATGTCCGGGTAAATCCGAATATATGGAAACCATAAGAAGACCATGAAGGAAGCGCTGTTTTTATCAATTACAGCATTTTGTTTAGTGAAGTTTAACAGAAAAAAAAACATTGAAGTTTACTTGAAAATTGAGTTTATGCTTTACATTTTAATTATATTTTTAAACAAACAAAGCTAATGGCGAAAATAGTACAGTTTGATAATAATCATTAAATATTTCTCAAAAATTTTGTGAAATTACATTATTTTGCGAATCTATGCAAAAATATTACATTTTTAAAAGTTATTTATTAAAGATGCTCTAATATACAGGGTGAGTCTTAAATAAGTGCAAATATTTTCAGGGCTGGTAGATCTCGATAAAAGAAACATATTTTTTCTTTACCGTTTTTCAAATAAATCCAAAATAACCGAGTTATTTTGCTTTGAAAATTTCCAAAAAAAAAAAATATTTTTTGCTAAAATTTTGAGCAGCACTGGATCTTTTCTGGATTTTCTTTCTTGTAAATTTAATCTGCTACCAATGTTGCTATATTATCAACAAATTATGTCTTTTAACTATAAACTAAAAAAAAATCACAAAATTATCCAAAAAATTCCAAATTTTGTTGTCCAAATAATCGTGTTTCTGGGGTCTAAATATACTCTCCTAAAATATTTGCACTTATTTATTTTTATCTTTTTTCGGTGTAGGCAAAACGACAGTCTTGTAGACATTTTTCTGTGATAATTAATTTCAAGTAAAACGGATGATCATCTTCACACACATTATTATACTTGATACGTTTTGACTGAACAGTAAAGACGCAAGGTAAAACTTTATGTGTAGGTGGGGCTTTACGGATGAACACTATTTTGCCGTAGACGATCACGCTTCCCAAAACAAATAAAAAATCTGCCAAAAGGAACTCGTGCGTGATTAGCAATTTTTTTTACTAATTAGTTTCCTTCCAGATCTCTAACTGGAATCGTTAAATGTCCAAATTATTGTGATTTAACTTATTAACTAGTGAAACCGAAGTAGTATTTACTTCTGCAGTGTTCCGGTAATATTATCAGTGCAACTGAACACGTAAATTATACACTAACTTAAAAAAAGGATTCGAAAAAACTTGAAGAAATGTGAAACGTTGGAGTTCATTGAAAAATTGTTTAGGACCAGTGAATTGTTACATAAAACATCTATTTTGAATCTTAGTGTATTTTGTTCTAGTGAAAAAATCCATAAAGACTGCAGAAATATTTTTTTAAACAGTTGTTTCGGATATAGAAAGTTATTGTCAATACTAGTGTGATTAAGAAATTCTATAAAGTGTCTTAGAACCACATTAATCTACTTTTATTCTGGAATGAGTTAAAAATCTTATTTTTGGTAATCATGAAATTTAATTTTGAAATACTTATACCTATAAGATACTATGTAATTAAACAGTTCTATGATATAAGTTATAAAAAAATTAATGTAATTTACAATAAAAATTGTTTTTTTATCATCATACAAAGCGTGTTCTATCATAATACTTATTGATCATATTGTATCTTCTACAAAGTTACTTTCTCAAAAAACAAGTTCATATTTTGACTTAATAATATATAATCTTAATAACTCTTTACAGAGAGTCAAAAACCTCAGACATAATTTTGAATTACTTTAAAGCCTTAAGGTTTTATGTCTAGTATTATAACAAAATTCGTAGTCAATTATTTAAAAAACTTTAATTTTGAAACAGTTATTCAGGATATTTGCTAGAAATTTTGTTTCGAGCTTTGAAACCGAAATTTCGTCCGGTAGAAACAGCTAAAAAGATATTTCGGTAGAGTCAAAACCAGACCGTGAGGTCAAAACTTAAAAATAGCCAGCGCTAATGCGTTTTGAAAAATAATCATCGACTGCTCGATCCGACAAAAACCACGTTGTTGTTTAACCACAAACGAACTCCGGTTTCATTACACCTTGTTTTTTAACAAAGGGAACTTAAATTTCTTTTATTTTTGCAGGCTTCTCGAGACCCTGAAGGACAAACGCGATAAAGTCGAAGAGGACCTGAAGGACATCGAAGCGGTTCTTCGGGACATCACGCAAAAGAAGAGCGAACTGGTGGACTTGAAGAGCGACATCGTCAACTTCTACGTTTTCGACGAGGACATTGTCCAGACCGAACGAGAACTTTCTAGTCTCGGTCAAAGAGTGAAAAAGGAGACAGCAGACGCGAAAAAGCTCTCCACGGACACCAGATCCAAGTACCAAGCAGCGCAGAACCTCGTACCGTCCGACGTAGCTGAAGAACTGAACCAATTGGAATTGCTTACCGAATCGATCAACGCCGCCATGGAAGACAAGGAGAGAGAATTCAAGAAGGCGAGGACTATTCGTACGGATTACCTCACCGACGTGGAAGAGTTGCAGAACTGGATTAAGGAAGCGGAGTTGAAGATCCAAGATCGATCGATACCTCCTCATCAATTGCACGAGCAACTTCAACAGATTCAAGCGGAGATAGGAGCTATGGTAGACAAACTGGACAAAGTTACAAGGAATGGAAAGACTATCATCGACAAGTCGAGAAAGCAAGAAGAGAAGGATATTGTTCAAAGTACTATAGACAATGTTACGGAGCAAATTAACCAAGTGAAATCGTGGTTGGATGAGAAACGCCAGGTTGTTGGAGAGACTTTGGACGCTTGGCAAAGGTTCCTCGCTTTGTACCAACAGGTACTGCAATGGACTGAAGAAAAGAAAGTTTTCCTTAAGGAACCGCTCAACGTTAGCTCACTGCAAGATGTGAAACAAAGACTTCATGATTATAACGTAAGTTAATAGTATTAAATTCAAAAATTTCAGACTTTTATCATTAAAAACTTAGAAATTAGGCTAGCTTTAGAATTTTTGTGAGACATTTGTCTCATGGGGTCTCAAAAAGTATGGGGTTTGCACCACTGGAAGAGAAGTCTACAAACTAAAAGAGTTATTTTTGTAAATATCACTGCTTATCATTGCGTTGAATGTTGACATTTTACTACTTTAACTACTTTTTTATAGGTTTACAACAAGAATTGACATTTGGTGTATTAATATCATAAATAAAATCAGAGGTAGGAAGAACGATTGTTGGGTTCGGTGTGTCAACATACAGTGTGTTCAAACAGTTACCCCACTTTCTCTAATTTATTATATTTTTTTTAACTTTGATCGGTTTTGAAATAAAAAAAATCTAATGAAAAACTGTCAATTGTAAAAAAATTGTCTCTACAAATTTTTCTTATACATAGAACAATTAATAGTGAGAAAATTTAAATTTATTATTATTAATCTTTCCAAGGACCGATACGTTTGAGACATGGTGAAGTGAGACATGGAAAAATTACATATAGTTGTCCGATCCGACAGAAATTATCATCGACCAATAAATTCAAAAAAAACTTTAATAAAAATTCATTGAATTTTTAGTGCTTAATTTAAATATAATATGATTTATTTTTTTAGAATGCTGTTAAAAGCTGTAAATCAGCTACCAAGAACCTCAGCGATATGGTGAAAGAACTTGAATACATATCAACTGTTACGACTGTCGGAGATTTGCCTCAGAAAATGGAACACGCCGAATCTATTAAGACTGAAGTAGAAGCTCAACTATTAGAAAGGGTTTGTTTCGATTTTTTCAAGTTATTTTCAAAAAAATTAAGTAATCTTTCATTTTAGAATGCTTTACTGCAAGAAACTTCCGAGGAATGGGAACAATGCGAGAAGAAAATGAAGGAAGTGCGATCGTGGATCGAGAAATCGAAAACAACGTTGGAATCGGCCCAAAACAAAAAGAAGGCTCTCAGAGACCAACACGCCCTACGCGAGAAAATGTTGGCAGACATCCACGTCCAAAAAACTAAAATATCGTTATCCATTGAAAAATTACAGGTATTCGGCGTCAGTATTTTGAATCTTACAAAAAATAACATAACGTTTTTATAATTTAGCTTCACTTCCGTGCCGGTATTAACGCAGACACGAAAATTACCGAACACGTGTCAAACCTGCTCAAGGACTTGGATGACTTGGATAGCACCATCAAGCAACAAGTGAATCAGATAGAGAAGGCTATTACACAAGTTGAAGAGTATCAGTCGGAAGTTCAACAACTTCGACAACAAATTGTTCAGGTAAAATAACCAAAAAAATAATATTCTCGTCTAAAATAAATTATTCTTTTTTGGCCTACATGAAATATGTTTTTAAGATGAAAATTTTATGTTTATTTTGCATACTTGTATCTGTCCAAATAGAGAATATATTATGATAATGAGACATGTATCTTATTTTACTTCAAAGTAAATTTGTATTTTCAATAATTTATTGGATGTCATCTGTCGAAATAGTCCTTTCACTAAACAACCTTTAGTTATACCGGGTGCATCTCAAAACTGACTCGACCCCTATACATTTTTTATTTTTTCAGGTAGAAACCAAATTTATAGTAGCTAGTATACGACATAAATTAGGATTGATTGACGTATTCAATTCTTTCGGCCACTTCCTGTTTCACCGGTAATGACTACAACTTTTGATGTCTAAATGGCACCATCGGTATTTTTTTACTTTATTCGATAGAAAATGACACTCTGAATAGAATGACATATTATAACGACAATTTTACTCGAAATACCAAGTATGTGGTACCAAATTATTCGAAAAAAAATGAGCCACCCTCGTTCCATTTGAAAAAATTGAGATGTGATAAAAATACGATTTGGGCATCTCTTAATCGGCCAGGACAAGACACTAAAAATATTAGACGATCAAATCTATTTTCCAAGGCGCCTTGATTAAAAATTAGTGTTTTTAACACAGCCATGGCACATCAGATTGAAATTTAAAATACGATTTTTTAAGCGAAAATGTCAAAAGTTGACATTTCATATATCATTCTATTCAGAGTGTCATTTTCTATGGAATAAAGTAAAAAAAATACCGAGGGTTAACCGACCATTTAAAAATCAAAAGTTTCAGTCATTTTCGGTGAAATAGGAAGTGACCGAAAATAATTGAATACGTCAATCAATCCTAATTTATGTCATATACTAACATATCAAATCTCGTTTTTTTATCAGAAAAAATAAAAAAGTTATAGGGGTGAGCCACTTTTGAGACGCACCCGGTATATAAAACTGTGTAGTTTGTAGAGATCTTACTGCTAAATAAAGGCCGAGTCTAGTTAAAAACATAAAATCTTCTAAAAAGCAACATATTTAGTAGATTAAATTTACAGGAAAAAAAACAGAAAAGATCCAGTGGTTCCTAAATCATTACAATTATTAATCTTACTCAGATATTATCTAGACTTACTTCATCAAATTTATGTTTCTTTTTAAGGTGGAACAACAGCTTAGAGCCACTATGGCACCAACTTACAAGCCCCATGAACGCGATGAAGCTGCCCGTGACCAAGAGGTGAGTTGTGTGTAATTAACTTGAATAACTCGTTGTTTTTAAACTAAATGCAGGTGGTATGGCGTGTTCATTCTAAATTTTTCAGTTACCTCTTAAATCAAATGTCATTTTAGACCATTGTTTATTGTCACGTCATACCACCGGCATTGTCAAAGAGCACCGCAGCGGTAGGACAGCCAAAATAGCAATTTCAAATTAAAACAATTTCAAAAAAATTTAAAATTCTTAGAGCCAATCATCTTTTTCATATACCGTATGATGCATTGCCGACCTGAACATAGGAAATTTGAAACATGATTAATAAAAATTTTCGATATTATTTTAGAGAAAAACTTTTTAAGGATCGCATTAAGATAAAACAAATTCTTAGTTTTGAATAGTTTCTACGACGTTTTTTTAGTTGCGAAATATAAATTATTATAGAAATAATCCACCACTTGTTGAACAAAGATTGATGTAAGTAATGTCTATACGTTTGTGGCGTGTTTATTTCTTGAGAAGTTTGGACTTTCCGCCACTGGAAGAGAAATCTACAATATAAAAGTTATATTTTGTAAACACCATTGCGCTAAATTCAAACGGAAGCAAGAAACCCAGCTTGTCAGTGTTTTTTACTAGTAATACAAAGTTGCTTAACTGACAAAAAATACTTAAGGTTTCCAGAGGTATATCTCTCGTCATAGGAAGCAAAAAAAATGCAAAGAAAAAACTATTTAAAATATCTAAATACAACATCCAAGAACACTTTAGTTTGAAATGTTTTGTTTCCTTCTTTTCTTTTTGCCTTTTTCTTTTTCCTTTTTTTTTTCTTTTTCCTTTCTTCTTCTTTTTTCTTTTTTTTTTCTTTTTTCTTTTTTCTTTTTTCTTTTCTTTATTCTTTTTTCTTTTTTGCTTCTGACGATAGAAAGAAATATATCTCCTTAAACGATTAGCAATTTTTGTCTGTTAGGCAAATTTGTTTTATTAGTAAAAATGCACTGACAAGCTTGTTTCCGTTTGGATTCAACGCAGTGGTTTTTACAAAAAATAACTGATTTTGTACATCCCAAATTCTACTATATTCTCCATAAAATTTTACAAAAAGCGCATCCTAAACACAGTACCATAATTCAAAAACTGAACATTTAAGGAAAAATCGTAAACTTTTATTTTTCATAATTATTAAAAAAAAATAATTTATAGAAACTATTTAAAATAAAGAATTTGTTTTATTAGAATGAATCCTTTAAACAATTACATTGAAGATTGTTTCGAAAATTTAAGTTTGGTTTGGTATGTTCTGGTCAGCGATGAGTATTACACGGTATAGTAAAAATGCATTTGTTGATAATCTTCGGTCGAAATAAAACATATTGGAAACATTTTGATGGCACTTCGAGGAGTGCTGCAAGTGAGGTGGCTGACACGCTCATCATCAAGGTGTTTCCGGCTTTCCCCAACCCCTCCGGCAGCGGGGATTGTGTTTGTCTTGTTTCCGGGCTCTATTGGTTCTACTTTTGGTTTCATTTACTTTTTTCCGCTTTTTATCATCTAATCACTGAAGCTTGTAGTTTGCCATCTCTTGCTTGCACTCACTTATACATACATATTTTCACTTTGGGTTTGTGTTCACTGTCTCTCTCATCCACCGTACACGAAATTTTTTACGCAACGTCACTCATTACACCATACACGCATAGAAAATTATTTGCTTTCGATTATGTTTAATTTTGGGTGAGCCAGACGAAGCGAACACAATCAGAGTTTAATTATTTATTGTTTGCTATTGTTTGATTTGTTTTTTAAAATCCGTATTACATATTGTTTTTTTTCTACCATTTTTTTGCTGCATTCCTTCCCTATTCCTTTTTCTATGATCAGGGATACAGAGAAAAGGTTCGAGCATTGCAAAGTAAGCTTGCGGCGCGCAACGAGCGCATTAAACTGATTTTGCAACTCGGAGCCCCAACTTTGGATCCACCTGGAACATAGATATTTCCTAAATTACCTAAAACGACCTCTCTCCCCACCCTATCTCGACCAAAGAAAAAAACTTAACCTATTTTGACTGTAAACACTCGACCATGACAGGCGTTTCAGCCACCTTCTTGTGCCAAATTATCACGCGTTACTGATCTCTTGCATTGTTACTACACAAATAGGCACGGATAGAAGCTTTCCGTCAGAAGATCACCCTGCTAGTGTCCCACATCCATCGCGTGGACCCCTACGCCACCTTAGACAGTTCCTTCTACGAAGCTAGTTACGCAGACATCGCAGCGGGACGGTCTATGTCTCAAGAGCGACAGCCCAACCCACCTGGCCACGACAATCCCGAAAAAATCGTTCCTGAAGAGGCACTCAAACCCGAATTTATTCCCCATTCCGACAAACCGCTCGTTTCAATCAAAACTGAAGAGACTGTTGTGATTAAGAAATCAATTCCGGAGAAAAAAGAAGTTTTTAAGGCACCAAAGGAGCCTGTACCGCGTAAAAGTAGATCGCCAAAAAGAAAGCAGGAAAAGCCTAAAACGAAACAAGTTCCTCCCAAACAACCAGCAATAATATCCAATGAGCCTGATACGTCTCAGTCTTTAACAGTTCAAGAAATAAGACAGAGGTCTAAGAGTCCTATGTGGGCTCCAGGTAGTACTACGTACGCCGAAGTTCTTAGGAATCAAATGCAAAGAAAACTTCTAGAAGAACAACCAGTTAAATCTGAAGTGGTGTTAGTGAAATCGGTGCCACAACCAAGGACTGATAGTAAAAGTGATAAAGTCGATGACAAATTACGGAAAGAATCTCGTGCTTCGGACCATAATATGACTGAAAATGTTATAGTGACAAGTGCAAAGACTGAAGTAGTTACTCCTGTAGAAACCGTTGTTAATGTAAACGTTTCCAAAGTACGCAATAAGGAACCAGTTCCAAAAACGGTTCAACACCATCACCAACAAAGGAACGTTTATGTCCCTGAAACCGTATCAGATATCCATGTCGATCAGAGATATCCCGTTCAGCAGGAAATTCCACCTGCCGTAGTGCAGTATCCTCAGCACGATAACCAATTCGTTCTGCAATCCTCCACGCCTGCTTGGAATCAGTACCAACAGGCCCACTACGATGTGCAATCCAACTATAATACGATACCCGGGTATTATCCTCCCGCAATTATACAACAACAACCAAATATCTTAGAATATATCCAGCCAATACCGACAAACTTTATTGCCTCAGGACAGCAACTGATGAGTTCTGGCCTGGGGACGTATACAAGTATGCCGACTAATTATTCACACGGACAATCATTTACCCCCCAACCATACGGATATGTGGATAATCAGAGAAATGTTATTACTGAATTAGAAGTACCACAAATTTCCGAACCAGAAGTTTATTCACAAGACACTGTGACAAATGTTGAAACTGTAGAAGCTATAGTTAAAGCTGACAGTGACACATTAAAGCCGTTAGAAATTAAAGAAGCCGAAGTTGTAGAGGTGTCTCAGGAGGTGGTTGATACACCCGAACTCGCGACCTCCCCTACAGCTTCGCATTACTCATACGCCCAGGTTTTGTTGCAAGGCTTGCCTGACAAACCTGTCCAGCCATCCAGTATAGCATCAAGCCAAGCTTCAAACGAGCGAGATGCTTCCAGACATATATCTCCGAGACCTGGATACGGTTCCACGTCTCAGGACGAAACGCTGTCTCATTCGAGGGAGCAAACTTATCGTAGACAAAGAAAAACACCTCCCAATTGGGAGAGGACTAATACTTTATCGAATCAAGAGAATAAATCTAGTCATAGAAATAAACGAACTAAACACGATGTTGATCGTCCTCAACAGTTCTCTTATCATGGAGAGCCTAGTGAGAAATTAGGTGATAAGAGGTCTGTTGATAGTCCGTATCATGAAGACTTACATGTACATAGTGATATAGAAAACGCGTCCCAATATACAGATAAGAAGTTAAATAGATTAGTAGGTGAAAGAACTGAAAAATTATCGAATGATATTAGAAAAGTAGAAACAAATACTCAGTTAAGGCCAGATCAAAAACCTAAGTCACACAAGAAAAATAAACAACCTAAGGTAAATAAAATAGATAAAAAACCCGAAATCGGTTTTGCAGTTCTTGAAAATTTGAATGAAAATAATGAAGAGACACCAACTCTCGTTGTTGAACAAATATCTGAAGAACAGAAGAATATTTCAAGTTCAATAGCAAAACATGAAGAAAATGATCATACAAAAACAAATAAAAGCAGTAAGAAGAAACATAAACAAAGCTCAAAGACTGTTAGTGAAAGTGAGACAAACAATGATAATACTGTGGAAGATAATAACGATACCATTGATATAACTGTTATAACAGATCAGTCTGAAAATAGCAAATCAAAAAAGAGGAAGCACAAAAAGAAGCAGAAAAGTATAGAGTCCATTACAGTTTTTACTGAAACAAAAATAAAAACTCATGAACAAATAACAGGCGAAGACAAGCGTGAACCGCCTGAAACTAAAAAATCAAAGAAAAAGAAACAGAAACAAAGTACTGATAAACAAGAGGACGAATTAAAGTCAGAATCCGCTGAGCAGGAAATTTCAAATGATTCTGATACAAACAAATCCAAAAAGAAGAAAAAGAAGAAGCAGCAGAACAAAGAAACTAATGACACTGATGATGTTACTGAGGTTGCGATAGCAATAGATGACAAATTAAGCTCAGCTCCTCAAAATGAAACATCAAATGATTCCGAAACTAATGTAATATCTAAAAAGAAGAAAAAGAAGAAGCAACAGGATGAAGAAACTAAAGACACAAATGTTGTTAGTGTGTTTGAGAAACCAGCAGATGAAAAATTAAGTTTAGAAACTCCTCAACATGAAATATTAAATGATTCCGAAACTAATAAGTCTAAAAAGAAGAAAAAGAAGAATCAACAGGCCAAAAAAACTGGTGACAATACTGTTAGTACGCTTGAAATAACAACAGATGACAAATTGATCTCGGAAACTCTTCAACATGAAGTATCAAACTATTCCGAAACAAATAAGTCTAAAAAGAAGAATAAGAAAAAGCATCAGAATAAAGAACCTAATGATAACAATATTGTTAGTGCGCTTGAAATAATAGCAGATGACAGATTGAACTCAGAAACTCAAAGTGAAATATCTAATGACTCCGAAATAAATAAGACCAAAAAGAAGAAACAGAAGAAGCAGCAGGATAAAGGAATTACTGATACTAGTACGATTGAAATAACAGCTGATGATAAATTGAGCTCAGAAACTCCTCAACCTCAAATATCAAATGAGTCCGAAACTAATAAACCTAAAAAGCAGGAAAAGAAGAAAAAGCAGGCTGATATAACAACAGGTGACACATTAAATTCAGAAGCTCCTCAACATGAAATATCAGACGATTCTAAAACTAATAAATCTAAAAAGAATGAAAAGAAGAACCAGAAAGACAAGGAAACTAATGATAACAGTGTTCTTAATCAGTTTGATATAAAAACAGAGTCCACATCAATTTCAATACAAGAAACTTCACTCGCTGAAGAGACTCAGACTAAAAAATCAAATAAAAAGAAACATAATAAAAAGTCAACTACACAACTTGTCGAAGATAAGACATCAGAAAGTTCAGTAAGTATTCAAGAACATGATATTATTGTAGAACCGCAAGTCGTTGAGCAAACAACATTAGAACATATTGAAACAGACAGTAATTCTGTGCCAAAAGACAAAATCAATGCTAATTCCGAAGAACTTATTAAAGAGGAGACAAGTACTGCTTCTGTATTAACTGAGATTAACGAAGTAGTAAATTATACAGATGTGTTACTAGATGTAGTAAAACCAGAAGAGTATCATACTGAATTTGTTCCTATAAATGAAGAAATACAAGAAAAATCTGTAAGTATACCAGATATCTCATTTGATGTATCCATTCCTAACAAAGTCCAAGAAAATATATCTGAAAATGTGCCATCAAATACTCAAGATGAAACAGTACCAATTAAGGTAAAGTCTGATGCGGTAGAATCTGTACAGTACCAGTCAACACAAATTTCTGAAGTTATTAGTCATGCCAAAACATTAATTGCTGAAACAAATCGATGTATACTTGAAGAAATTGCCGCTCTGGAAAAGTCTCAAACGAAAAGAACTGAGCAGAATATAGAAATAGAGGAACCCAAAGGAGTCCAAGAATTTTTAAATAATGAAATATTAATAGAAGAAGGAATTCAAAATACCTATCCAGATGTGGCTCAAACAACAGAACAAAATGTTGATGAAACCGATAAAGATCATCTTGTCGAAATTCAAGAAAGTTTAACACAATCTTTGATAGACACAGAAAAGTCGTTTACAGAGAAAATTTTAAACGAACAAACCACAAGTCAAACAGAATCTGCAAATGTAGACCTAGCAGAAGGTAAAATACACCAAAAAGAAGAAATAACGACAGAGAAAAGTGAAGAAGATGTTGGAAAGAAATCAGTTGATAATATTCAAACTACAAATGACATACTTCAAGAAACTAGTCCAGCTATTATTGAAGAAGTAAAAGATTTTGTTGAAGAATCTCCTGAAACAAATATAATTGAGAAAGAAACAATATCTCAAAGTTTAGACTCATCAAGTTGTTCTCCTGAAAAAATAGATGTACAGAAAACCGTTGAATCTATTCAAGAGAGAAATAAAGTTTTTGAAAACGTATTGATAGATAAAAACATGAATATCGCAACTGAGACACTTGTACAAAACGTACAAGAGCAACCAAGTACTTTGAAAGATGAAAACTTTGAGAACAAACCAGCTGGTGATCTTACTAGACCCACTGAAAGTGATATAATAAATAAAAAATCACTAACTAAACAACTTGATGTGGTAAACTTAACGCAATCGTTTATTGAAACCGAAGTCAATGTAATTAACACTACTGGAGATAATGAAAAACAAGAAAGTGAAATTGCGTTATTCAAGGATTACGAATCAACTATAACTTATTCTGCTGAAAGTATAACTGCTACTGAACCATCAGAAACTATAATTAAGAAGTTACCTGACGGCGACGTCCCAGAAAAGGAGAAACCAAAATCTGACATTGATAAGAGCACTACCTCGAAAAAGAAAAATAAGAAGAAAAATAAAAACAACAACGAAGTGTCAGAGAAAGAAAACAAACAAATTAATACTGAAAAAGTATCAAAAACCATATCGAAATCAGAAAAAGTGACCATAAGTACAACAACTGAAACAGAAGATCATTCATTAACTTCTAAAGTTAACGGTGTTTCTCATTACAATACCGAACCTATAAAAGACGAAAATAAGGTCTGTATTGATGTGGAAAGAAAGGAGGGTCTTGAACTGAAGCCAACTAATAAAATAGTACTTATAACCCATGAAGAAGTCAAAATGAAACCTGTTGTGACCGTAAAAATGGAATTTCCTGATGTGGAACTTAAAACTGCTAGTGAGAAAATTCTAATTAATGAACTAATTAGTCGAGAAGAGAATATTGAAAAACAACGCTTTGAAGAAGTAATTCTTAAAGTTCCTGATGCTGAACAGACTGTTCAAACGATAGTTCAAGAAGAAAGTGCAGACATAGCAAAGGAAGCTCTTGAGAAAGATGAAAAATACGTAGGTAAAGAACCGAGCCAAGAAATAATTTTCTCGCATCCTCTGTTAGAAAGTTGCATAGAAACAACCATAAAAAATCAGACATCAGTTATTACTACATCAGAAAGTATAAAAGAAAATACAGTAAATAAACAAGAGAAAGAAATAAGGGACGTAGTATATCCATCTCCTGAAAATTTAGTTGAAACGGTTGTTCAGAAAAGTGTAGTTGCTCCGGAAATTGATGAATTTATAGAGAATGAACGTAATGCAAGTGAAAAAATTCTAAGTAATGAACTGATTAATCGAGAAGAGAGCATTGAAAAACATCACTTTGAAGAAGTCATTCTTAAAGCTCCTGATGCTGAACAGACTGTTCAAACGACAGTTCATGAAGAAAGTGCAGATACAGCGCAGGAAGCTCTTCAAAAAGATGAAAAATACGTAGGCAAAGAGTTGAGCGATGAAATCATTTCTTCGCATCCTCTGTTAGAAAGTTGCATAGAAACAACAATAAAAAATCAGACATCAGTTATTACTACATCAGAAACTATAGAAGAAAATACAGTAAATAAACAAGAGAAAGAAATAAGGGATGTAGTATATCCATCTGCTGAAATTTTAGTTGAAACGGTTGTTCAGAAAAGTGTAGCTGCTCCGCATATTGATGAATTTCTAGAGAATGAACGAAATACAAGTGAAAAAGTTCTAAGTAATGAACTGATTAATCGAGAAGATAACATTGAAAAACATCGCTTTGAAGAAGTCATTCTTAAAGCTCTTGATGCTGAACAGACTGTTCAAACGACAATTCATGAAGAAAGTGCAGACATAGCGCAGGAAGCTCTTCAGAAAGATGAAAAATATGTAGGTAAAGAATTAAGTGAAGAAATAATTTCTTCGCATCCTCTGTTAGAAAGTTGCATAGAAACAACAATAAAAAATCATACATCAGTTATTACTACATCAGAAAGTATAGAAGAAAATACAGTAAATAAACAAGAGAAAGAAATCAGGGATGTGGTATATCCATCTCCTGATATTTTAGTTGAAACGGTTGTCCAGAAAAGTGTAGTTGCTCCGCAGATTGGTGAATTTTTAGAGAACGAACGTAAGGTCGAAATATCACATGGTTTAATTCAGGAGGCAAATGAAAAATGTTCGAGAACGAATGGGTATCATGAAGGTAAAGATACAGACAAGAAGATCGAAGAAATCATAGAAATTGAAGAGGCTATATTTGGTTCGGTCAAAGACCGCCATCAAAATAAGGACAAAAAGAAGAAGAAACTGACAAGTAACCTCGAAACAGACATTAGTGAAAAGTCGAAAAGACACGGCATACCTTTGGAATTGTTGCTGGAAACACCTGACACCGAAGTGTCATCCTCGTGCTCAAGTCAGCTGACAGAAACTTTGACGTTGTCACGCGTCAACTCTGTCGTTGACACTGAAATTCAGGACGTTCAACAAGTAATGGATATTTTGGCAAAACATGAAAGCAAAACGAAACAGGAATCTACGTCTGAAATAAATACTCCAACCGGAGATGTTTTATCTAATAAGAATGAATTAGTATGTAAGGAAACACCAACAGGTAAAGAAATTACACATGAATCAGTTGAAATTGTGTCTGATAACATATCGGTTAAGGAAACTAGTGACAATGTAGAACAGATATCGAGTAATAGTGTGCAAATTCCGAGTAAACCGCTTATTCTTGATATTCAAAAAGAAACTAAAGACTTAAAACAAGGTATTCCTTCTCCTGACACACCATTGCCTGATATCGATTACCTTCAACCCGAATTGAGCCCGTTTGAAATTAAACCCAAATCAACAAATATTGAGGAAAATATAGGTGATGTTTTAAGCTTCCTTAAAGCCGAAACATTATCAAAATATCAACCAGATTTAAATAATGTAGTAATATCCGAAACTAAATCTTCTGCCAATGAACACGATGCTACAAATAATGAACACTATTTGCCTCAATTATCTAATGAGTTCGAATCATTTTTAGAACAAGATCCTGAAAAACGTAGTAAGAAAAAGTCTAAAAATAAAAAGAAAAAATCTGTGTCATTTGAAGCGGAACCTCAGATTATCAATCTACCCGAAGAAAAGTATTTAGAAGCTGAACCTACGAAAACATCAGAAGATGCAGAACTAGCTAGTGAGTTTGTGTTTGTTCCAACCCCACCAGAGTATTTAGCTTCCTCCGCTGAAAGCGATGACATACCGGTCAAAAGTGAGATAATAACTACCGATTTAGACGAACCTGATGACGGACAATGGGAGAAAATTGAGATTCCTACCTCTCCTGATAAAACGGTTCAGTCTAGTTATTTCGAAATTGTGGATAATCGTGTAGTTGAAACAAAAGAAACAAAAGTAGATTATGCGGGGTTACCGATCAGCCAAAAAACTGAAGAACTTTTAGATGTTTTAGATGAACCCATTGTATTATCGGATGATGATGGCGATAAAACTACAGAACAGCCTGAGACACCTGAAGCAGACATATTATTATCTCCAGAACCTTCAAAGACGGTATCAGAACATATTTTATCGCAGGAGAAATCAAAGAAAAAGAAACATAAGAAAGATAAAAATAAGCCAGAAAAAGCTCAAATTGTCAATGCTGAGCCTAAAAAGGAATATACAGATAAATTTGAGACCAGTATTGAAAATACAGTTAAAGATGAAATAATACAACAAACCTCTGTCATATCAAAACATGAAGAAGAATTTAAAACAGAACAGATTGTTACTATTGAGACAGATACTACAAAAAGTAAGTCAGAAAAGAAGAAAAAGAACAAAAAGAAAAAGTCTCAAAAAACGGAAGAAGTTAGTGTAGAAAATGAAACATTACAGGATGAGTTACCAATTTCTGGCTCCGAACAACCGCTTGTAGATCTAATAAGTACTGAACCTTCTATTGATACTGTAATTGATCTAAAATCGGATGAAATAATTGTAGAAATTATTGACGAACAACCAGACTGGCAAACGGCTAAAGAACTGATAATAGATGAGCCAGACCAAAGTCCCAGCTTTGAGAAATCTGAAATATTAGATGCGATTTTGGATCAAGATACGGTAATTAAAAAAGACAAACCTTTCGACAAGCTTTTGGAAGTGGAAGCTTTAATAGACCAACATGTGGATTTGGCGACTGAATGTGAAAAGAATTTAGAACGTTGGCCAAGCGTAGAAGATCTGAAATCTAATGACGAAATTGCTCCTGTGGAAAGAGAAGATTTTACTGATGATAACTTACTAGCCGACGAAGTGAGTAAGAAAGAAGAGGAAAATGAAACTAAACATAAAAAACGACATCGTAAAAAGAAAAATAAGGAGATTGTAAAAGCGAAAAGTACTGAACCAACAGAACAAAAGGCAGTAAGTCCGGAAGTTACAGAGAGACCAATGAATAAACTTTTAAGAAGTTTTGCTAGTGTTGTCGGATCTACCGATCATTCCACTGAATTTACAGTTACTAATACTGAAACAGCAGAAATTAATGTAGAATTTGATAAATCACCACAACCAGTCATTGATATTCCTAAAGAAATTGTAGTGGAAGAAACTGAAATACAGAAACCAGTCACCGATCAACAACCTTCCGAACTTGACAAATCAAAAAAGAGAAAGCATAAGAAAAAGAATCAAAAGCACCATGAAATTGAAAATGAACATTTTGCCGAAACATTAGAACAACAGACAACTAATGAACCATCTTCAGATATAAATACGACCTTTTTGGATTCTGAAAAACTTCATGTTGAGGTATCAGCAGAACAACCAACTCATGAATTATCTAAGGATATAAATACGGCGTTTTTGGTTAATGAAAAACTTGTCACTGATACGACTAAGAGCTGGGCCTCAATTGTTAGCTCAAAGTCGGCTGAAAGACCTGTTGAACAAAATTTTGCAAATGAAACAGAGGATAAGGAAACTGTTCCTGCAAATGAGGAAATTGAAATTTTAGAGATACCTCACGCAACAATAAAGGAAAATGAAAAGATAGAATTAACCAATTTAGAGTCTTCTGATGTCCATAAACTAACTGACAGTATTGAAGAACCTTTGAAGCCAAAAAAATCGAAGAAAAAGAAAAAGAAAAATGTAGAAGAAAATCTAGATCATAAAGAGGAAATCGATAACGTTGTACACGATATTGAAAATATACAAACAATCGTTGAAAATGCTTCTGAGATAGAGCACCAAACAAAGGGAGATAAAAAATTGAGAAGATGGGCCAGTATAGTAGGATCTAAAGCTCACGATGATATTCACGAAGACTATGAGGACATAGTTACAAGGCCGGAAGAATTTGTTGAAACTGAAATCGATTTTAATGAGAACGTATCACAAGAACCAGTTACCGATATTGCATTTGAAAAATTGTCATTTGAACCAACTATTGATGTTGAAACTCTGAAATCAGAAGTTCCTGAAGAAGAACCTATTGAAAATCAGCGCAGTGAATTGAAGAGATGGGCAAGCATAGTAGGTTCAAAATCAAAAGAGATTCCTCAGACATCCGAAGATACTTTTGAAAAAACGATTACACACTCTCAAAAGCTTCAAATTGTCGAAGTTCCAATTATCAACAATAAATTTAATAAAAATCAGAAGAAATCTAAGAAACGCGTTACTGAAGACTTGAATCTGGGAAGCGAGGAGGTCAGTGAAAGTGATATTAAAGAAATTGAGATTGTTTCAACACCTACTATTGAGTCTATTCAGTCTCAGGATTCAGATAAACCAGATTCGAGCCAAGATGAATCAGTATCAGAGAAAAAGAAATCGAAAAAGAAGAAGCACAAAAAGAAACATAACGAAGAAAAGGATAAAACACCCGTTTTTACGATCACCGAAGAAATTCTAATAATTCCGGAACATGAGGAAAAATTGGTCAAACATGAAACACAGAGTAAACAGAAAAAGAAGAAGAAAGACAAAAAGGGAATAAAAGCAGAAATAGTTACAGAAAATCTAGTTATCGAAGAAGATGTAACTCACACTGAAACAATTAAGGAACAAGAAATACCTGAAATAGTTTTAAAAGAAACCTTTGAAAACCAAAATGTAGAAACTGTTACTATTGAAGATGAGAAAGATTTCAATCAATCTTCAGAGCTTCAGAAAGAAATCCATACAGTGGGACAACATATATTAAAAGAACCTAATGTAATAGAAAAGAAAGTTGAATATCGAGGACTCCCGATCGACGCATCATCTTCAGCTTTTATTGATGTTTTGGACGAACCACCAGTATTTTCTGATGAAGAAACCGACGAAATAAGGAAAACGCTTGTAGACACAGTTTCAGAAATAATACCAGAAACGTCTATTGACACATCTTCAACCTTAGTTGATATCTCGAACGAGCCATGTTTGGACTCAGTTAACGAAGATTCTGAACATAATTTACAGAAAATTGAGGCAACAAATGTTGAGGAGGTATCAAGTGCACTAACAGAGTCAACAAATATAATTGAAGAGGTAGAATTCACTAACGAAACTGCTTCATCATTTAATGTTATTTTGGATGAATCTTTAAATAAAGATGCAGATGTACCTGAAGGAACGCCTGTAGAAGAAGTTTCAGAAACAGTACTTGAAACTCCTGTTACAGAAACGATAACTGAAAATAAAGGATTAGCACTTGAAGAAACTATAACAGTATCTGATTACGAGGAAAATCCGTATACAAATATTTCTGAAAATGAACAATCTCAAACAATTTTACAAAAGTCATCAGTTGAAACCGAACGTATTACTTCAGAACCCATTTTAGACACCTTTTCAACTCTACCAGAAGAAGCATCAACTAAACCAGATCTTATTATTGAAATGAAACCAGAAAGAACTCACTGGTCATGGGAAGATGGGTATAAAACTATAAAAGAATCTCCATTGGATCAAATATTTGATGTACTAACGTCTCAAAATATTTCCGAGATTGCCAACAATGAAGGAAATGATGATATTCAGACAACTGTAACAGATCAAACTCCACCTAGTATCTCAGAAACTAAATTTAACTCTGAAGTATCGGAAAATATTCCTGAATCTCCTCTGTGGGACTGGGAAGATGGTTTTAAAACCAATAAAACAGAAATAATAGAAACTGAACCCGCTCCAGCCATTAAAGAACCCCTTGATATTCAAACTGATAAAGTAATAGAAAAGGAAAATGGTACTTCTATTGATGTACTGACTGAAGTACTTATTAAAAATACAACTATTCAATCCACAGTTGAAGAAGAGAAAACAGGGGATATACAGAAAGATGAAAAGCCTTGTACTAAACATTTGGAAGAAGAGCAATTAGTAACAACCTTAAAAGACGAACTTTATAAAGATATAGATAGTTTCCAATCAGTTACATACAATTTGAAATACTTAGTTGAAGAAGAACATCACTGGCATGAGCAACAAATAACAGAACACCAAAATATCAAACAAGAAGAGATTGTAAAACTTGTAGAATCTATACCAGAAAAACAATTTACTTCAGTTGAAGAGAAGGTTTTAAGTGCGCCTGTAGTAGTACCTGAAGAAAATATTACCCAAAATATATTTAGGGAAATAAACGAATATGCTTGGTTTAACTATAACTTAAAATACCTACTAGAGCAAGAACATATTTGGTATGAACAAAAAGCAAGAGAAAATAAAGTTATAACTGTGCCTAATGAACCTGATACAAATAAACTCGATCAGCCATCCGTATTGGAAGAATCAATTACTGATTCAAAACCCATTGAAGAATTAATTCGGAAAGAAATAAATGACTATAAGTCGGTTGCATATAATTTAGAATACTTGCTTGAGCAAGAACAATTATGGTATGAAGAAAAGACAACCTCTAAGGAGTCTCAAATTATTCCAGTTTCGGAACAAGCAAATGACAAAGAGGATGAACAAAAAGAAAAGGCTATAGTTGAACAAGTTAAAGAAAGTGAAAAATCTGTTACTGTAGAGCAGAAAACTGAAGAACTCAATATATTTAAACCGCCAATTGTAACGGAAAATAAAGTTGATTACAAAGGTTTACCTATAGACGAAAGTTCGTCCGATTTTCTCGATATTCTTGATGAACCTCCTGTATTTTCTGATGAGGAAGACGAAAAGAAGGATGAGGTTATATTTGAACAAGATAAAGGAAATGAAGCACCTACTATTTTAGAACAGAAAATTGAGGAACCCGAAGTAGCTCCGCAACCTATTATAACAGAGAAGAAAGTCGAATACAAAGGTTTACCCATAGATGAAAGTTCTGCAGATTTTCTGGATATACTTGATGAACCTCCTGTATTTTCTGATGAGGAAGACGAGCAAAAGGCTATAGTTGAGCAAGATAAAGAAACTCAAACACCCACTATAATAGAACAGAAAATTGAGGAACCCGAAGTAGTTCCGCAACCTATTATAACAGAGAAGAAAGTCGAATACAAAGGTTTACCTATAGATGAAAGTTCTGCAGACTTTCTGGATATACTTGATGAACCTCCTGTATTTCCTGATGAGGAAGACGAGCAAAAGGATGTGGCTATAGTTGAGCAAGATAAAGAAAGTCAAACACTTACTATAGTAGAGAAGAAAATTGAGGAATCCGAAATAGTTCCGCAACCTATTATAACAGAGAAAAAAGTCGAATACAAAGGTTTACCTATAGATGAAAGTTCTGCAGATTTTCTGGATATTCTTGATGAACCTCCTGTATTTTCTGATGAGGAAGACGAGCAAAAGGATGAGGCTATAGTTCAGCAAGATAAAGAAAGTCAAACACCCACTATAGTAGAGCAGAAAATTGAGGAACCCCAAGTAGTTCCGCAACCTATTATAACAGAGAAGAAAGTCGAATACAAAGGTTTACCTATAGATGAAAGTTCTGCAGATTTTCTGGATATACTTGATGAACCTCCTGTATTTTCTGATCAAGAAGACGAGCAAAAGGATGAGGCTATAGTTGAGCAAGATAAAGAAAGTCAAACACCTACTATCGTAGAGCAGAAAATTGAGGAACCCAAAGTAGTTCCGCAACCTATTATAACAGACAAGAAAGTCGAATACAAAGGTTTACCTATAGATGAAAGTTCTGCAGATTTTCTGGATATTCTTGATGAACCTCCTGTATTTTCTGATGAGGAAGACGAACAAAAGGGTGAGGCTATAATTGAGCAAGATAAAGAAAGTCAAACACCTACTATAGTAGAGCAGAAAATTGAGGAACCCGAAGTAGTTCCTATTATAACAGAGAAGAAAGTCGAATACAAAGGTTTACCTATAGATGAAAGTTCTGCAGATTTTCTTGATATTCTTGATGAACCACCTGTATTTTCCGATGAGGAAGAAGAGCAAAAAGATGAGGCTATAGTTGAGCAAGGTAAAGAAAGTGCAACACCAATTATTGTAGAACAGAAAGTTGAGGAGCCCGAAAAAGTTGAACTTATTTTGACACAGAAGAAAGTTGAATACAAAGGTTTACCTATTGACGAAAGTTCTGCAGATTTTCTTGATATTCTTGATGAACCACCTGTATTTTCTGATGAGGAAGACGAGAACAAAGGTGAGATTATAGTGGAACAAGACAAAGAAACTGAAACATCTACTAATGTGGAACAGAAAATTGAGGAAAGCGAAAAAGTTCAGCAAACTATTTTAACAGAGAAGAAACTTGAATACAAAGGTTTACCTATTGACGAAAGTTCTGCAGATTTTATTGATATTCTTGATGAACCTCCTGTATTTTCTGATGAGGAAGAAGAGCAAAAAGATGAGGTTATAGTTGAGCAAGGTAAAGAAAGTGCAACACCTATTATTGTAGAACAGAAAGTTGAGGAGCCCGAAAAAGTTCAGGAACTTATTTTAACACAGAAGAAAGTTGAATACAAAGGTTTACCTATTGACGAAAGTTCTGCAGATTTTCTTGATATTCTTGATGAACCACCTGTATTTTCTGACGAGGAAGATGAGAACAAAGGTGAGATTATAGTGGAACAAGACAAAGAAACTGAAACATCTACTAATGTGGAACAGAAAATTGAGGCAAGCGAAAAAGTTCAGCAAACTATTTTAACAGAGAAGAAAGTTGAATACAAAGGTTTACCTATAGATGAAAGTTCTGCAGACTTTCTTGATATTCTTGATGAACCTCCTGTATTTTCTGATGAGGAAGAAGAGCAAAAAGATGAGGTTATAGTTGAGCAAGGTAAAGAAAGTGCAACACCTATTATTGTAGAACAGAAAGTTGAGGAACCCGAAAAAGTTCAGGAACTTATTTTAACACAGAAGAAAGTTGAATACAAAGGTTTACCTATTGACGAGAGTTCTGCAGATTTTCTTGATATTCTTGATAATTCTCCTGTATTTTCTGACGAGGAAGACGAGGCAAAAGATGAGGCTATAATTGAGCAAAATAAAGAAAGTGAAACACCTATTATAGAGCAAAAACTTGAGGAAGTCGAAAATGTTCAGCAACATATTTTAACAGTAAAGAAAGTTGAATACAAAGGTTTGCCTATAGATGAAAATTCCTCAGATTTTATCAATATTCTCGATGAACCTCCTGTATTTTCTGATGAGGAAATCGAAGAAAAAGATGAGCTTATAGTTGAACAAGACAAAGAAAGTCAAAAACCTGCAAAAGAAATGCCTCTTGGTGACTCTACTGCGGTGTTTGAGGATAATCTAGACCAACAACTAAAAGTTTCTGATGAAGACCAACAGTTAAATACTGTAACTACAACTGACACAACTGAAACAAAATATTCCCCGCTATCACCCAATTCTCCCGAATTTGTCCCTAAAGTTGCACAAACATTGCCCGACCTCAAAAGTTCATCCACAATGTTTATAACGGAAGAAACCCGCGAGAGCAACATTCTCCACGCGCCTGCCTCCGAATTTGAAAAATTCGTCGAAACAGCGACCGAATTCGTTCCAAAATCTACGTTGTCTACAGAAGCAAACGAATTTGTGCCCAGGTCCGAGCTATCGAGATTAAATCCAGATGCCGCTGAATTTGTTCCTACAACTGAACAAAGTTCCGTTAGTCAGCCCTATACTTATCAACTTCAATATCACGTTCAAGAACCGGCTTGGGAGTATAGTAAAGTTGTCTATGACTTGGTTGAAGACGATTCAAATTATGAAATTCCAGTAGATCATGCTAGTACAATGTGGGTTAATGAAATGTTGCAGGAACCACATGAAACGTTAAAGCCTGCTGAAAATAAAAGGAAAAACAGCTTTAACAGAGAAGAAAAAGAGAGGCTAAACTTGCTGCCTAAAAACGTAGTTTCAGAAATACAGACTAGCAGTACTACTGATATACCAGTAACAAATACCGTGTGTTACACTGCAGAAAAGTTAGAAATTAAACATGAACCCAGAGTAATAAAAACCACAACCCCAGAAAAGTCTCCTTCACCACAAAAATCCCCTCCACCAGAGCAACTCGCTCCAGCAGAAAAAGCTGCTCCATTAGAAGAATTCACTTTATCAGCACCGATTGTATCAGAAGAGATTGAAGAGCCTAAGTTACAAACAGAACCTGAAAGACCAAGTGTACAAACTGAGGATGATATTAATACAGAACATACTGAGATAGTTACCGATGAAGTAACAAATGTTTGGCAGACTATGAAATTAAGTGGAAAATCATATGCTGATGTGGTAGCTGCAGGAGTTGCTGCTGATGATAAGCTACGAGATAGATCAAGCTCAAGTCATCGTCATACTTCCGTAAAGGAAGTACAGCCAAAAAAGATTGAAATAAAAGTGGAAGAAGTCGACGAAGAGTCAGTTAAACAAGATGCACAACCAAATACAGAAGGATTTATTGAGGTACCTAAAAAGAACAAAAGGTCTAGGTCAAAACAAAAGCCTGAGGATCTTTCATCACAATTACAATTAAAGGTAGATCATGATGACGTACAAAAGCCTGTCGAGGATACAGAAACAAAATCCTTAAAAAGCCCTAGAAAATCTAGAAGGAGAAACAAGTCACCTAAAGTCCCAATATCTCAAGAAAGTAGTGATGTTATTATATCTCAAGAGATTGCGGAACTAAAACAAGAAAATGAGGATACTACCCCACAGTCTGCAATCGAAGATACTGAAACACTAAAACCATTAGACCCAGTTGGTATTACTTGGGCCAAAGTAGCAGCAACTAGCAGAGATAATTCTCCCTTACCTAAACAAGTAAGTGAACATAAACCTGAAAAACTTCATGAATCTGCTAATATTAAAGAAACTATTCAACATGAAGACAGTACAAAACAAGCAGATTTAGCAGAGCTAGAAGAAATTGAAAATAACGATGAAAACACTATTAAGGCGCCTCAGACTGAACAAGCAAGTGAAGTTGAAATTGTTAGTGAGAAAGTTAGAACAGTAATAGAAACAACAGAGGACCTGCATGAAATCAACACAACTGATGGAAAATTAACTTATGCTAGTATGGTAAAAGTTCCCAAAAGTAGGGAACCGTCTCCAAAAGATAAAAACGAGCAACGTATAGATAAAGATAAACCGCTCGCTGAAGAGGATTCAAGAAATAAGAAAATTGAGAAGGAAAAGAAACAACCACGAAAAGAAAAGCAAGTTAAGAAGGGAGGACACAAAATAAAAGAAATTGTTGATACATCACACAATGAAACAGTTTCTACTACAGCGGATGAGTCAAACACAACAATAAGCAAATCATTTATAGAACAAGAGGTAATATCTGAAATTAAACAGACAGATCCACATCACATAACTTACGCAAAAGTAGCTGCGTCAAATCTTCCTAAGCATTTTGTTCAACATGAGATAGTTGTAAGTGAACCCTTACCGAATATACTTCAGGATAGTGAAATTAAGAGAGTTCCTCAAAAGAACATTGAAATCAATATATCTGAACCAGAGAAAGAAACAGTAAGTATTCCTAAAGAAGAAACAATCCATGTTCAATCTAAGAAAAAGAAGAAGAACAGAAGTAGATCTAGGTCTACACAGAATGAACAAGTACAAAATATTGAAAGCGCTGAAAAACCTCTTCCAGAAGAAACTGAGATAGTTACAACAATAACAGAAAAAATCGATAACAATAATTCCGAAGACCTCCCAGTTGTAAAGTCATGGGCATCAATTGTAAAATCAGCAGATGCTCCGAAAGATGAAACAGAGAGACCGGATAAAACTGTTAAGGACCAAAAATCTTCTAAATCTGTAAAAGAACCAGAAGAAGTTCTTAAAAAAGACAAAAAGAATAAAGGATTCGTCAGTTCTATTATATCAACTCTAAAGAATGCAGTTACTGGTAAAAGTGATGAAGTCGGTGACAACGAGGCTTCAAGTAAAAAATCTAAAAAGAAGAATAAGAAGAAGAGTAAGGTTAAAGAAGCTGAACAAACAATAGTAGAATCTTCTGATGAAAAAATATCTGAAGCAAATGTAATAGATAATATTCCCGTTCCAGTTAAACAGCAAGTTGACAAGTTAGAAACTCAAGAAACGATTGATGACCAACCAAAAGTTACTGTGTTTGATACGATAGAACAATCCAAATCTACAAAAGAATTGGTAGATGCATTTATTTCCTCTGAAATACAAGCTACAGTAGCAAGCAGTGTCGTAGATGTAGAAAAAACACCAGATCAACCAGAATTGGTATCTGATATAGAAGCTCAAGATGCGTTACAGCAACAACCAGAAGTAATACAATGTGAAGCTGTTCATAGTCCAGAGATTTCAGTAACTGCGGAATTAGATATTGAGTCAGAAGAATCTAAGAAAACTTCTGGTGAATACGAAGAAACTATTGAAAATATATCTACCGAAGTCTTAGAAGAATCTAACACTGAAATTTTAAAAGACAATGAAGAATTAAATACCGTAGTACAACAACCGTTATTTACTAAAGAATCAACTGAAGTAAAAACTTTGCAAGAACCTACAGAAACTGTTACCGAGGAAATAAACAAACCGCTTGAAGATCTAGTTTCTAAAGATTTGGAGATCAAATCTGATTCTATTGAAGAAATAAGTCAGGAGATAACATCAGAATTTGTAGACGAAAGAACACAGCCAGAACAAAGAGTTCTGGAAGAGAAATTGGTAGATATTAAAGAAGTTAAGATAGAGAAAACCAAAGAACAGGCATCAGAAAACTTATTAGAAATATCTGAATCTATTGAAACGATACCTAAAGAAAATCTAACAGAGAAATTCATTCTTAATGAAAAATTAACATCTCAATCGACAGAAGAAATTGTCAAAATTTCAGCAGATGAATCGTCGCTTAACAAGAAGTCCAAAAAGGATAAGAAGTCAAAGAAGAGAGAGAAAAAAGAAAAACCTACTGAAAGCGAATGGGTAGCTTTAGCTGCTGAGGAAATAAGTGAACCATCTGAAGAAGTGGTTTCTGAAAAGTTGGAAACAAGTTCTGAAGCTACACAAGAGATAACTCAGCAGCAATCGCATGATGTAAAAAGTGATTTAGTAGTCTCATCATTTTCGGAACCAGTTAGTGAAATTGAATTAAAGTCAGAATTTTTACACGAAGCACAAGAGGAAGAATCGGTTAAAGAGCCAATTTCTAAATTGGTGCAAAAAGAACTAACCGATATTGCAGCAGCGGAAATAGAACCAAAACTAGAACAAGCAACAGATAACTTACTGAAGGTGTCCGTAAATATTGAAACTGTATCCAATGAAAATGTGCTTAAAGATTTAATTTTTAATGAGAAATTGGTGTCTGAATCTATAGAACAAGTTAGCAAAACAACAGACCAACTATCACCAACCAAAAAGTCGAAGAAAGATAAAAAGGAAAAAGTAAAATTAGAAAAACAAAAATCTCAGGAAAGTGATTCGGACGCTCCCAAAACCAACTTCATTCAATCTGTAGTCAAAAAAATATCTGATGTGTTTACAAGAAAACCTAAAAAAGATCAGAGATCATCTGAAAGTGAGCTACTGGTTCAAAATTTAACGTTAGACGAATCGTTTTGGATTAGCAAAGCTATTTACGACGAAGCAGAGACTGACTGGTATACCCAGTTGAATAAACATCAAACATCTGTGGTAACAGAAATTAAAGTGAAAGAGGAAGAAATTTGTCATGATGATTTACCTTCAAACTTATTGTTGGATTCATTATGGTTAACTAAAGCTATATACGATGATGCTGAAGAGCAGTGGTTTATAGAACAAGCGAAAAAAGTTCAAACTAATGTTTCTGATGACGTTATAAAAGTACCAGATCATTCCCACGATAAAGATGACGATGCAGATAGCGGTTCTAGTGGTAGAGCATCGCCTAGAACGAAACCAAGTGATTCGGCTGGTTCTGGAGAACCTGGTTCTCAATACATGATGTACACTCTTCCAGGAGGAGTGGCAGGCTGGAAAGAAACCAGCACGTATCTTTCTGAAATCGTGAACGACGAATCGGTAGACTTGAAACCTACTGACGAATCCTCATCATTACCTTCCTCACCTGTTCCTCCTCTAGAGACTTTAGATCATCAGCAGTCGCCACAGCCCAGTCAGGCAGCACCTGGACCACAAAGGAAGAAGGTGAAATATTCGTGTGTCATTTGTTAGACGTTTGAGTCCCTGTGCATGTTCTCGACTAACCTAGTTTACGTACTAATCTTTGTCGTCTTTATACTGTGTTATTTGACGTGAATAAATGTATTTAAAGCCTAACGTTTCGCTTAATCATTTTGGAGGGTAAGATTGTTTTGAGCGCTTTTGGTGGTAGATTTTTTTTGGTGTTGGTTTAAAACAGCAAAATAAAAACACTAAATCACCACAATACACCAAAACACTTTTACTTTTACACTGGACGCGCGTTTCGCTAACCATGTTAGCATCATCAGCAGATGATTATAAAATAAAGTACAATCTACAAGTTGAGCGTTTATATACTCGCTCAGTGGGCACCGAGTGGGCGTGGCAAAATCTAGCCAACCGAGTCAGAGCCCACTGAGCGTAACAGTTAGATTTCCGCCAGTAGAGTAGTAGGAACAAAGAACTTGAAGGAATTGGACCGTTGTCTCTGGTCATACTATCTTTACATTTATTAATTCTGATGCTTTCATATGCATCTAATTGCCTATAATTTGAGACTTGTTTAATTAATTTTAAATTATTAAGATCTATACAATGTTCTTTATCAACAATATGTTCGGCAACGCAAGATTTATCCGGTCTACCATATCTTATCTGAGCTAAATGTTCTTTAAATCTAGTTAATATTGATCTTCTAGTTTGCCCAACATATTTCTGATTACAATCTTTACAAGAAATTTCATAAATACCCGACCTTTCCAGTGGAGGTGTTTTATCCTTTAGATTACCTAATAATTGTTGTAATTTATTATTAGCACTATACACAAGTTTATAATTGACATTCTTAAAAATTCCTTTTAGAGCACGGGATAACTCTCTATCAAGCGGTATCGAAAAATATTTAGACGTATCTTTCTCCACTTGAAAAGTCGAATTTTCAGAAATCATTAATCTATACCTACGTTTTCTAATTAATTTATATATATACTTTAGTTTATAATCATCTGCTGATGATGCTAACATGGTTAGCGAAACTCGCGTCCAGTGTAAAAGTAAAAGTGTTTTGGTGTATTGTGGTGATTTAGTGTTTTTATTTTGCTGTGTAACACCAAAGGTTCCAACCCTCAACTGTAATCTTTGGTTTAAGATGTTCAGTATAAATCAAAATAATTTTAATTCACTTGGTTTTATTTAATTTGCAAAAATTTGGTTAATTTCAAATTTTATGAAATTTGCAAAAATCTAATAATTATTATAGTGTCTTTCGTAATAAGATCGTAATGATTGGACAGAATTAAAATTTACTGTGACTATCGCTGAAATTCTTGAAACAGTTCGAAATACAAAAAGACTTTGAGAGACTAAAAATATTATAAATTCACTATAAAAGATACTAGCTAAAAATGATCGAAGCAGCTGATCAAACTTATGTCTTGTTTATAAAATAGAAACTTTATTTCTTTTTTAATCAATATTAATATATCGATTTTTTTTAAATCTTGGTGTATATTGGACATTTTAATTGTTTTCACTTTGGTTTTTACAGTTTTTATTTGTTTTGTTTCATTCCTGGCCTTCATAGAGAAGTATTATTCTGTTTTAGAGGTCATAGTACTGTAATCTTAAATAATACAAATATTGTTATTGCTTTGTCATGTAACTGTGTTTTTTTAATAACATCATGAAATAATAGGAAATAATACAAAAACAGCATTTTTAACGAATATTTATTTATGTCATAATAATGCCATGTCATGTCAAAACAATCAAAAATTTGACACTTCAAAAGTAGGTAATGGCGACTACCAATATATGCAAATCTTACTCTACTAGGAGCTCTAACATGAAAAACTTCTTCAAAAATATATCTGGTAAAAATTGCTGGACTGCCTAGTTTATTTGGATATATTATAGATAGCATTTCCCTATTCTAAATATTTATGGTATGTTTAGGATTTTGCCCATGTATTTCAAACGTTTTTAATAAAATTGCTTTACCTTCTTATGGACTTGCCTGAAAATAAGTACCCGCATTTGAATTTAGAAAATTGTGTTGTTGATTTTATAAGTCTAACATCTATAGTTTATAAACATAATCTTATTCTAATCAATTTTGTAGGAACTTGAAGATGATGTGAATAGACTGCAAAAATCTTTGACTTTCACCGAAATATCAATAGAAAATTTACCCCTGGAAGGATTTACTGAAATGTTAGATGCTTTAGAGGTAAGTTTCGAAAATTATATTTTTATTTTTTCAAACCGCCTGATATAGGAATGAGCAAACCTTTTTCTTATAACGAGTGAAGTTTGTAACACCTTGTACAACACACGTACAAGAATAAACGCATCACAATCTATTGTAAGAATTAATACCCTGTTATGTTACTTATACAGGGTATTTCACAAAACATTTGCCATCTCTCGTGGGGAGATTCCTTGTGCAAAAATAAGATTTATTTTTCATATATTAACATAGTTCCGATTCTGCTTTGTTTCGTAACTACAGGGTGTTAAAGTCTTTATAGAAGACAACTTTTAATCGGCATTAAACTGCTTACACTATTTCGCTAAAAAGGGAAAAAGTCGGTGACGTACATGCTTTTTTTAGAAAAAATATTCCAGTGATAACCTATAGGCACGTCCCTCGTGAATATGTCGACACGATTTTGTAGCTTTAATATATGTCCCATTTACAGTAACTTTTACCCTAAAATTTCATTCGAAACGCTAAAAGTACTTGGAAGAAAATTATAATAAATCGAAATAATATTAAGACTTTAACACCCTGTAGTTACGAAACAAAGCAGAATCGGACCTATGTTGATATGAAAAATAAATCTTTCATTTTTACGCGAGGAATCTCCCCACGAGAGATCTCCCTTGTTTTTTGAAACACCATGTATATTTAAATATTACATTAATATTTTATACACCCTGTGTAAAGCGTTAATTCAATAATACATGATGACATCAGGATCTAATTTAAGAGATGACATTGAAGGAAATTTTTATGCTATTTCTATTATTAGGCCACCCTGTTGTGCTATTTTCATTGATGATCTTCTTCATTCAATCATGTTACATTATAATTTATATTTTGCGGGTTTATTTTTAAGTTTTTAAGAATCTATTTTTAAAATACTCTATTGATGTTTGAGACACTATGTATAAAGCGCTAATACAAGAAATGTACCGATGACATCAGGTTCTAATTTAGGATATGACATTAAAGGAAAAAAATCTTATGTTATTTCTATTTTTAACCACCCTGTGGTTGTTCTTATTTTTATTGTTTGATCTTTTTTATTCAATTATGTGTCTCATCATGCGTTAAAATAACTATTTTTCATATACAGGGTGAGTCTAAATATGTGCAAATATTTTCAGGGCTGGTAGATCTCGATAAATCAAAACATAATTTTTCTTTATTGTTTTTCAAATAAGTTCAAAATAACGAGTTATTTTACTTTGAAAATTTCGAAAAAAAACGTTTTTTGCTTAAATTTTGAGAACCTTGTAACTGGGTTTTCTTTTTTGTAAATTTAATTTACTACATATGTGGCCATATTATCAAGAAATTAGGGTTTTTAAAAAAAATCGGGGGTCGAAATATGCCACTCCTAAAAATATTTGCTCTTATTTAAGACTCGTCCTGTATTATTTGTTAACTATTTTGTCGGAGTAAGTCAACTTTCGGTAGTTTATTTTTGAACTTTTGGGGTCGAATATTTTGAGTCGATGTATTTACCAGAGGCGCTTATTTGATGTTACGTAACGATAGCTTGGTGCCAAAATATTTAATATTGCACATTTACTATGTTCAATTTACTTTAAAAATACTTCTCCAACTGTCAGTTTCCTGTCCTCATCTATGTTTTTAACTTATATTTATGTAGTAATTATTTTTGGTTATTGGGTCTTTAGGTTCTATTTCTTTTAATTAAAACAAATTAATTATTGACGTTTCGCCAATATATTTTTGGCATCTTCAGAAATATTTATTTGCGTTATTTCTATGGTAAAAGTCATTAAATCCTTATATTAAAAAACAAAACACTTATAAACTAATACATACAGTAAAGTAAGTACGCACCTACATCGTATTTTAAAAATTTGCGACTTTTTTCTGAAGATGCCAAAAATAAATTGGCAAAACGTCAATAATTAACTTGTTTTAATTAAAAGAAATAGAACCTAAAGACCCAATAACCAAAAATTACTATATATTACAAAAAAGGTTGAAAATCATCATCAACTTATATTTATGGTTTTCTGATTTTCTTTCTGTAGCTATAGTTTAGCTATTTTAGCTATTTTCTATAGTTTAAACTACATAGCTCGGCCTAAATGCAAGACATATTTTTTTCTAATCTTTTTAATAGACTCTCTGATAAACTAACTTTTTTCAACCGCATTTTAAACATTAAAAATACCTACAGGTATTTACTGTCTGTCCAACTCATCACAGAGCTTTGACAAAATCCAGTAACTGAGACAGTTTTACAGGGGTTAGTTCTTCATTTCCGATATCAGTCGTACCAAAGTTGATGCTGGCACTAATCGTTGTGGTCTTGGCGCACTCTATGATGAGGTGTTCTGGGGTTTTCCCATTTTCCCTATAGAATCTACATTCGCCGTTGTTTCTTAGCTTCAATCTACTGAGGTATTTATTGAGGAGATAATGTTCTGGGGGGAAGGAAGTGTGCCGAGTCGTGGAAGTTCATAAACCAAGTCAAAACCTCAGAAAAACAGACGGCCAAGCTACAATTAATACCAATGAATAAATGGAAGGAATACTACGAAGAACTCTTAACGGAAAATAGGCAGGAATACGCCACAATATCACCCACAGAGATAAATATTTCCGGATAAGTTATTAACATTGACATACCGCAAACGAAAAAGGCAGTGGCAGCATTGAAAAATAACAGAGCCCCGGGACCGGAGAATATTCCAGGTGAATTGTTTAAATGTGGAACAGAAAAACTATTTAAAGCCTTAACCTGGTGTATAAATAGATTCTTGAACGGCGCGGCGCCCCAATACCAAAAGAGTGGAAAATCGCCTATATATCCTCAATCCACAAAAAGGGAAATAAACAAGTGTGCTCCAACTATAGAGGTATATCAGTAACAAGTACCCTAAGTCGATTATACGGACGGATCCTTAGAGATTTAATAGAACAGGAATACCAACAACAAGAAGAGGAGGAACAATCTGGTTTTCGGACTGGGAGAACCTGTACCGATAATATTTTCTGTCTGAAACAACTAATAGAGAAAAAGTAGTATTGATCAGGAGACACACCTCATGTTTATTGACCTTCACAAAGCATATGATACCGTTCCAGTTAACAGACTATTCAAGGTACTACAGGACACCAACATTAACTACACCTTAATTAGAGCTCTGAAAAACTTGTACGAAGAATCGACATCACAAATTAAAATAGGCAACACATTATCTGGAAGATTCTTTGTCAATAAAGGTCTACGACAAGGATGCTGTGTTTCTCCCACATTATTTAAAATATATGTAGCAAAGGCCTTGAGACAATGGAAGAGAAATGTAATGGAATGGGCATTAATCTGGGCGATACCTGTCTATATACCCTGCAGTTCGCAGATGATCAAGTTCTTATGGCCAACGATAAAGATGATTTGGAGTACATGACAAGGAAACTACAAGAGGAATATCAACGATGGGGTTTGGAAATAAATACAGGAAAAACTAAATATCTACCTATTGGTGCAGAACTATCTAGCGTACATCTAGAAAATGAAGAGATAGAAGCCTGCAATGACTACACCTATCTAGGAGTGATATTTGATACAACAGCTAAAGATGACAAAGAAATTAAAAAACGAATATCACAAGCTAGAAGAACAATTGGCTGTCTGAATGGTGTATTTTGGAGTAATGAAATAGGGAAGAAACGGAAGATCAATATATACGAGACCCTGGTAAAAAGCAGTCTACTTTATGGTGTAGAGACTTGGCGAATAACGGAAGCCAACCGAAAAAAAACTGGAAGCGTTAGAAATGGATGCCTATAGAAGAACCTTTTTTCAGGAATTTCTCGAAGACATAGAGGCCGAAACGAAGAAATCCAACAGAGGATAGGAATAGAGGGATCTTTGGCAACCGACATCGAACGCCAACAACTTATGTGGTACGGACATGTCCAGAGGATGGATGACACACGACTTCCAAAACAAATTATGCAATGGATACCCCAACATCGAAGAAAACGTGGAAGACCTAAGAAGACTTGGAAGGAGGGTGTCACAAGAGCAATGAGTGCCAGAAATCTAAACAATGGAACGATCGGAAGACGTGGAAGTTAGGCATCGGACAGATCATCGGATCTTAGATTTTTCTCGGTCGTAAGATATCCTGAGAAATTTCTTCGAGTGTCTTCAAATTTCTTCGAGTTCCAGGTTACGGATGGAGTTTTCCAGGTTCTTGAATTATGCTTTAAGTTGGTTTCTACTTGGGAAGAAAAAAAGTTTTTTACGGCTATTAAGCTATCTTGTACATTTCGCACTGAAAGAGGTGCTAAAAAGAACAACGTTTGACTGCAAGGTCTGCTAGTAAAAATTTTTAAATTTAAAGTATCACAACATAATTCATTTATACCATAATAAATTTAAACTCGTAATACAAAACTAAAGTGTCAAAACGAATGACAATGTCAGGAAAAAAATATATAAATGCGGCATTTTTTAAAGCAGAGCTACCACCTGAATCCCTAGCGCGAAATTTAAATTTCAGTTAGTCAGTCCGACACCGAATATATCCATGGTTGGCAACAATGAATATAAAAATCGCGCCCTCGATTACATAACTAAAAGTTTGGTTGGTATCGAATATACGTAGGTACGCTGAGTTCCATGTAAATGATAGTACATCGACTGGCTGTCCAGTAAACAGGCTGTACTGGCATGTTTAAAAATGTCTTCACGAAAAAAGAACACACATTTTGGCAAAGAAAATCTATTAAAATAAATTAGTCGGTATATTTATATATTTGAAGATGACGAAATTTTAATTATTTCCTCATATTGCATAATTTGCTCTTATTTTAGTAGGCAGTACATTCTTAAATTATACCTTTTTAATTGTGTTATACATATATATCAATAGATTAGACTTTGATTTATTTTTTGTTTTATACGTGACATTATTGCTATATAAAACCGTGATTAAATGACCAATATAAAT